AATTGTCACAATCGGAAAATGTATGAAGATAACCTAAAAGTGTTTATTTTTCATGTTATTCAAATTTGTTCATGACCATTTTCATGACACCTATCATTTATACCGATTTCTTTTGGCCGGTGACCTATACTGAAATATTGTGGAGAATATGTTTTCCTTTGAGACCAACCTTCTAACATGGCTTGCAGTGCCAATAATTGGCATAATTGAAAATTATACTAAAATAACCTAAATATGTTTAATGTTTAGATTATCCGAATTCGTTAATGACAATTTCTCAATACCTATTGTAGCTACCGATTTCTTCTGATCGGTGACCCATAGTGAAATTTAGTGTAGAATATTTTTTTCCATTGAAGTCCATTCTCTAAGGTGAGAAACAATGTCCCTAATTGGCATAATCGGAAAATAATATGAAAATAACATTGACACTTTTAATTGTAGTACTAAACTAATTTGTTAGTGCACATTTTCTTGAGACCTCTCACCGATACCGATTTCTTTTGGTCGTTGACTCATAGTGAAATTTTGTGTAGAATATTTTTTCCATTGAAGCCCACTCTCTAAAATAAAGAACAATGACCCAAATCGCCATAATCGGAAAATATATGGAAATAACCGTAACATTTTTAATTATCCTACTAAACTAATTTGTTAGTGCATATTTTTTTGACATCTATCATATATATCGATTTCTTGTGTTCGGTGACCCATAGTGAAATTAAGTGTAAAATATTTTTTAGTGTCCATTTCCTTGACACCTATCATATATATCGATTTCTTGTGTTCGGTGACCCATACTGAAATTTAGTGTAGAATATTTTTTCCATTAACATCATCCATCTAAAATTAAAACTAATGTTCTAAATCGGCATAATCGGAAAATATACCAAAATAATCTAAAAAAATTGATGTTCATATTATCCTAATCTGATTGCGATATTCTCTTGACACCTATTGCATCTACCGATTTCTTCTGGTCGTTGACCCATAGTGAAATTTTGTGTAGAATATTTTTTTCATTAACATCAACCATCTAAAATTGAGACTAATGGTCCAAATCGGCATAATCGGAAAATATAACCTAAAAATGTTACATTTTTATATTATTAAAATTTGTTAATGCAGATATCTTGACACCTCTCACCGATACCGATTTTTTGTGGTCGATGACTCATAGTGGAATTTAGTGTAGAATATTTCTTTCTTTATCATCATCCCTCTAAAATCAAGTCCTCTGATAAAAATCCATGGTTTTTCTAGCAGTGCCATTTTTGAGGTTATTTGTCATTTAGAGCAACCGTGTGTGCTCATTGAGTTTTCTGTCATATCAAATATCAAATTTTAAAATAATGAAAATTGAAAATTTTTGGAAAAATAGCAAGATTTGAAATAAAAAAAACATTAATATTTTTTTTTGGAAGCAACAATATTCAAATCTCCAAACGAACGACGGCTTAAAGAAAGGTAATCGTTAATATAATATTTTTTCGGAATTTTTTTAAATAATATTTTTTTTTATTTTTACAGATTGAAAATTTGATACCCAGAGACTCCTAAGAAAATCCTCCAATATTAAGAAGAAGAAATATCGTTATTTACCAAAAGTCAAAACCATTGCCAGCTGCCATGTGGCATTTACACCCCGGAAGAGTAAGAGAGATTTTAATGAGAGGAACTCAAAAATGCCTGGCAATATTTTCACAATGAAAACCACATCGGAATCCCATTATTTATGGAATTTAGAAAATGCCTTTAATCGGGAAATACAAAAATTAAAACACCAACGGAATATTTTATTAAAGGAAATTGAAAATGACGCAGGAGGAGGAGAAGACGGCAAGGATTCCGTGAGGGAAAAATATTGCCATGAATGGTCGGAAAAAATCAAAGAGAATATAAATAGACGATTGAAAGAGAGCGACAAAATTAAAGAGAATCGTAATAAATCTCATGGAGAGAACTACTACCAACACCTTGATGATCATATGGAAGCTAAATTTTCGGAAACATGGTCGGAAAATTTGCAAAAGAATATTCGGACACAAAGTAAGCAGAGGAAGAGTTCTCCGTTATGGTCGGAAAAAATGAGAGAGAATTTAAGAATTCTCAAAAATTCAGAAAATTCTCAAACTCCCCAAAAAGTCGCCACATACCATCACGACCCTGAGGAAGCAAAAAATTCCGAAACTTGGTCCGGAAAATTCCAAAAGAATTCATGGACACCACGGAAAGAGAGAGTCGAATCTCCTTTAGGCTCTAAAAAATTAAAAGCCAATTCCAAAACCCTCAAAAATGAATGGACTGATAGCAATGATCCCTCTGACACCTTAAAACGTTTTCACAGAAATTCAGAAAATTTTCGAACTCCCCATAAACTAATAGCGGATTCTAGAACCCTAGAAAATGAAAAGGCCGATAGTAATGATCCTTCTGAGACCTCAAAATATGTTCGCAAAACTTCTGAACATATCCAAACTCTCCAAAACATCGCTACATTCCATCATGACCCTGTGGAAGCAAAATATTCGGAAATGGGTTCCGAAAATTTTCAAAAGAATTCGTGGACATCACGAAAAGAGAGAGAAAATTCTCCTTTAGGCTCTAAAAAATTCAGAGCGGATTCCAGAACCTTCGAAAAAGAAAAGGCTGATGATCCTGACACCCCACAAAATTTTCCAAAAATTCCGAAAAATTCTCAAAACCCTCAAAAATATGTTCGCAAAAAATCTGAACATTTTCAAACTCCCCAAAACATCGCTACATTCCATCATGACCCTATGGAAGAAAAATATTCGGCAATAGGTTCCGAAAAATTCCAAAAGAATTTATGGACACCACGGAAAGAGAGAGTCGATTCTCCTTTGAGGTCCAAAAAATTAATAGCGGATTCTAGAACCCTCAAAAATGTAACGACACATAGTCAAGATGATCCTGACACCTATTTAGGGTCTAAAAAATTAATAACGGAATCCAGAACCCACAAAAATGAAATGACTCATAGTCCCGATGATCCTCACACCCCACAAGATGTTCCAAAAATTCCGAAAAATTCTCAAAACCCTCAAAAAGCCATCACATCCCCCCGCCAGGTTGGTGATGATGCCTTAAAATATTCCACGGAATTTCAATGTGTCTGCGTTCCGCCACGTTATGCCTGCGTTTCGGATATGTCGATGAGACCCAAATCACGTACATTGGCTTTACAGTGTGTCTCCAATAGGGATCTGGGGGCAATTGGTGATCATAACTCTAATGTGATGAAAGAAATCGAAGAAGAGAACCCCCGAAAAGAAGAAGAACCCACCCTGTTGGAAAACCAATTCTATGCCGCTTCGAACGAAGTGATTGTGAATTATTGTCATTGTTTTAGGTGTGTGAGGTGTTTAAATTCCCTTTCGAAATATCCAATATGTCGTGGTGGATTTACGAATCTCCCCAGCTGTTGGAGGACGACATCGTGTGAACATGGTTTACCGATTAGGATCTGCTGTGGGGATTTTCTAACGTCAAGAGAAAATCAAGATCGGCAAAATTGTTGCAGGAGATTAAGAGACAACAATGAAAGAGATTTTGAACAAATGAGCGGGTCTCCTTCGCCTAGGCAAAATGTAGCCCATCAAAATTTATGTAGGGCTCTGAACAAAAATGCGGGGCGATTTTTTGGTCGTCAAAATACTGATCGGAATACGGATTATTTCTATACGAAAGCCGGGCATGGAAGTGATAGGAATTCCTCACCTCATACTCTCTCACCATGTAAAGAGAGAGAGGTAAGCAATGGAAGTTTGGAGAGAAAATGTGTCAAAGAGAATAAAAGGGAGAGATTTACTGATCGCCAAAATTCGGACCTGAATACGGATAATTTTTGTTCCAGAGGAGGAGGTCATGGAAGTGAGAACAATTTTTCGCCTCATACTCTCCGACCTTGCAACGAGAGAATCCATTCCAAAGCAGAACATAGAAGTGAGAGGAAGAACACTTCGACCCATACTCTCTCACCACGTAACGAGAGAATTTCGAATGATGAAATTGTCATGAGAGAAAATTCCCCGGGGAGAACAAATTATGGCAAAAAATACAAGCAATTTATGAAGGAGGGCGAGCTTCCGAGCTCGACCCATAACGGCAAAGATGGAACTAATTTGAATGGACTCATATCTGCGTCAAAAAAGTCAGAACCTCTTAATGATGCCAAAATCGAGGAAATGGATCTTGAGAGGTGTGGAAATTTAAAAGAAAATCGAATGGAAATTCAGGCAGATACCAAGGAGCAAAATACCCCGAAGGAGGCTATCGAAGGATATCACAACAATGATGGTAAGAATTTTAATCAATTATATTCCGAAAAAAATTCTGAAAAATTCCGCAGTACATGCAAAGCTGTCGGAAAAAATAATCCCCATTATGATGATAACGATGCCTCTGTGAGAGCGAAATATTCGAAAGTTAAGTCAGGAAAAAATCAAAGGAATTCCACTCATTTCAATAAAAATGAGAGTCATCATCAGGAGAGAAGAGCCTCATGTTGTTCGGAAAATACTAAAGAGAATATAAAAAATTCTAAAAGAGCAGGAACCCAAAATGAAGCTGATGATGAACCCGTGAGAAGAACCTGCGATCCACTAATTGCCAACAATGAAAGTGTAAAGAGAGTAACGATGGCTCGAGAGAAAAGCCCCGAGGAGAGAAATTTCCAGGGCTCTCAGCTGTGTGGAAGATCAACTGAGAGACATCAAATGAAATCGACTCTAAATGATAAGGGAGACTTGAAGAGAGAAACTTCGTCTTATCGAAGGAAAAGCCCTAGGAGATTAATACCCCACAATAAAGATGACGAACCTGTGAGAGGAAGCTGCGATCCACGAATTGCCACCAATGAAAGTGTAACGAGAGTAACGATGGCTTATCGAGAGAAAAGCCCTGAGGAGAGTCATGTTCAAGGCTCTCAGCAATGTGGAACATCAAATAAGAGGCATTCTAAGGAAGCAAATTCCAAGAAATTGGAAACAAATAAAATTCAAGAATTCATCTACCCATTGGATAATAAAAAGGCCACGAAGTTAATCCGCCTAATGGATAGATATACAAATCGGAAAATGGAAAGCGAGCTGGATCCAATTCCAAAGGAAAGAAAATATCATTTGAAAGAAAGTAAAATTAGTACCGAAAATTATCTCCGACATCAATTAACTGCGAGGAGGAGGAGCAGAATTGGTTGTAATAAATCCACCGCCACCGAAGTTGATACTCAGCATCAGGAATATTCTCTGGATACATTGAAGATAATGAAAACTATGAAAGTCAGGGCATATGAGGTGAAAAAATTCGATGAAATATCCATGGAGGAAAATATTGAGGCTAAAAAATTGGAGATAACCAAAGAGGGACCTCTGGGAGGGAGGAAGGATGAAGAAATCGGAAATATTTCAAAATGTGAAAAATTGAAATCGGAAAATGCCAAAGAAAAATATGAGGAAAATAAATCGGAAAATTTCAATGGAAAACTTGAAGAAAAGAAAGAGAAGAGAGGTGGAGAAGATTATCCGCACTCACTTCTAACAGAGCAAAATGCCCGGAGAGACTCACTTCGCAGAGTCGCTGACTACAAAGAAATTGAGAGAGGAAATATTGAGGAAATACCGATCTGTAGAGGAGAAGTAAATCGATCTTCTAGGGTGAATAAAATCATTGAAGGATATTCGACTGATAGACCGGATACTTCTTTAAAAAATTATGGCAAAAAATCCAAGCAATTTATGAAAGAGGATGAGCTTCCGAGCCCTGTCAATAATAGATGTGAAGGAAAACATGGACCAATTTCTTCTCCAAAAAAATCGGAACCCTCTGTGGATACCAAAAACGAAGAGAGGCATTTTGAGAAGCCAGGAAACTCAAAAGCAAATCGCATGGAAAATCAGGAAGATACTAAAAAGCAAAATATCTCGAAGGAAGCTGCCGAAGGACATCACGACAATGATGGTAAGAATTTTGATCAATTAACGGGTCAATTGAAAAGTCATCGATCTGATTTGGCATGGCTCATTTAGTTGATCCAAGGATGAACCCTATTAAAAATAGCGTGAATCGGTTCAAATTTCGATATATATCCCGTATATAACTTCGACGGATTTCATGTAAATGTTGCAGAAAATACTCTAGGTTGGTCCGATCGAAATGAATAATTGAGCCTGGAATGACATACGTCAAATATGATTAAAATTTGTTCAGATTTCGATGTAGCTTCGGATTTCAGATAAATGCTGCACCAATGTCACAATGTTGGTGCGATTGCCACGAAATTTTGCATGGGCTATTGAATTGAGTCTCGACTTGTGTCATGTCTGATTAAAATCTTTGCCGATTTCGAGTAAATGATACACCAAAGTCACCATGTTGGTGCGATTGCGACGAAATTTTGCATAGGCTATATCTATATATCTCCCATCTATATCTATATATCTCCCATATAAAATTCCGTCCGATTTCAGGTAAACGCTGCACCAAGGGCCCAGTGTGTGTCCGATTGCCACGAAAATGTTTATAGGCTACTGAATTGGACCTAGAATGATGTGTGAAATTGGTTTCGATTTCGATATAGCTCCCATATAAAATTCCGTACGATTTCACGTAAATGTTGCACCAAGGTCACAAAGTCGGTGCGATTGCCTCGAAATCTCGCTACTAAATAGAATAACATATGTCAAGTTTGATTGAAATCGGTTCAGATTTCGATATAGCTGCTATATAAAATTCCGTCGGATTTCAAGTAAAAGGTACAAATTTTGTATAGGCTATCGAATCGAATTGGTTGTAATTTGATGTTTTGCATATTCTCTGGGTAGAAAATCTTCCTACCAAAAATTATCCATTTTGGTCCACCTTTAGGTATAGGCCCCAAATGAGGGTACCCTCCGATTTTTTGATATTTAGAGGATTTTTGACATATTCTCCAACCAAATTGGGTGTAATATGATATTATGGGTTCTCATTGGGTAGCAATTCTCAAAAATTATAAATATTGGTTCACTTTCAGGTATAACCTTGCCTTCCGATTTTCGATATTTTGATTATTTTTAATACATTTTCCAATTGAATTGGTTGTAAATTGATATTTTCTATTCTCATTTGGTAGCAAACCTTTCTACCAAAAATCAACCATATTGAATCATCTTTAGGCATAGCCCCTATATAAGGCTACACTCCGATTTTCGATATTTTGAGGATTTTTAACACATTTTTACACCGAATTGCCTGTAATTTCATATATTGGCTACTCTTTGGATAGGAAATCGTCCTACTAAAGGTCATCCATATTGGTTGTCCTTTAGAATATCTCCCATATAAGGATACCCTCCGATTTTTTTGTATTTAAAGGATTTTTGAAATTTTTTCCCAACAAAATTGGCTGTAATTTGATATTTTGGGCTCTGTTTGAGTAGCAAATATCCCTACCAAAAATCATCCATATTGGTTAACCTTTAAGTATAGCCACCATATAAGGGTACCCTCCGATTTCCTGCATGTTGATGATTTTCGACACATTTTCCAACCGAATTGGCTGTAATTTGATATTTTGGATTCTCATTGGGTAGAAAACCTCTCTGTCAAAAATTATCAATATCGGTTCACTTTCAGGCATAGCTCTCATATAAGGATACACTCCGATTTTCGATATTTTAAGGATTTTTGTCACATTTTCCAATCGATTTGTCTGTAATTTCATATTTTGGATTCTCATTGGGCAACAAACCTCTGTACCAAAAATTATCCATATTGGTTTACCTTTAGGTATAGCCTCCATATAAGGATAACCTTCGATTTTCGATTTTTGTTATATTTTTCAACCGAATTGGCTGTAATTTCATATTTTGGCTTCTTATTGAGTAGCAAACCTCTTTACCAAAAATCATTAAAATCGGCCCACTTTTAGGCAAAAAGGTCCCATTACCTTCCGACCTGAATTTAACTAACAGTTTTAACAGTTCAATCCGACCTGAATTTAACTAATTTTTCTATTTATTTCCAGTTAAAAAAGCCCAGTGCAACCTCTATCAAAGAGCGGACTCTGGCAAATATTCTAAGTCGGTAAAAATTGTTTCAAATACTTCTGAAGTAACTAAATTCCAAATGGAGAAACAGCAAAATTATCTGAAATATCTTCAAATATATGGAAATCTAGAGAACTCTGAGAGAGGAGAAAAGAGAGATACCAGAAGTCCGGACGATGTTGGAAAAAGAACAAAAATACCGCTTCCAATTACCTCCCCAAGAGATAATTTGAAAATCGATAAAGAAAAGGGAAAAGGAAGCACTTTATCGGGAGGTGAAGGAAATGCAGCTCTAAGTTCCACTGGTGGAAATGAAACCCAATTCGAAGTTGCCATAAGAAGAACCAGAAAAATAATTTCCACCATCAATCATCAGGGTAAGGAGGGTGATAGTATTCCTCAGGAGGAAGTGAATTCTCCAAGAGCTAATTTAAAGGCGATTCAAATGAAGCCAAAAGACAACTCATTTGGCAGAGAGAGCAAGTCATTAGACTCTAGAGAGAAAAGAGGCCTTGAGAGAGCAAATAATTCGATTATCAAAGAGCGAATAAAATTCCATTGTAAAATAAGTTCCACCAGACGAAATACTCCGAACAATTCGGAAGCTCTCACGGAATCGTATTTTATTAATAAAACAGAGAAACTGAGAGGCGAGCCCGCTCTTTTGGCTGGTGAGAGAAAAACATGCAAAGCAAAGAGATCTACAAAAGAGAGCAGCAATATCAATAGCCTTAAAGAGAAACAAGCAATACAAGACCACGAGAGAGTAGAGATTTCAAGCAACAATGTTGAAGAGAGAAATGTTGGTCAGAGTGAGAATAACTCTCCAAGAGCTACCTATGCTCTCAGCGATACTCGAACCCAAAATGAAGCTATGTCGAAAAATAATGAAGATAAAGTGAAGGACAATTCGAGAGAAGGGCCTTCGAGAGTCCTGAGAGAGCAAAGTAGAGCTATTATGGAAGCCAAAAACTCTCCAAAAGAGAGTGAAACTACCAATAGCATCAGAGGGAAGAAATCACTACCAACCAATGAGAGAGAAAGTATTTCAAGCAACAATGTTGAGGAGAGAAACAAATCTCAGAGCGAAAATAACTCTCCCGAAAATAGTCAGACTCACAGCAATTCCCCAAATGAAAATAAAATCTCGCCTGTAAATAATGAAGGGAAGGGAAAGGGGAAAGTGAAAGGGAACGACCATGGAAGAGAGAAAATTCCCATCGCTTATAATGATCCCCGAAACCTCGTCAAGGCAGAAGAAAATTCTGCCCGGTATGAAACTTTGTCGTATAACAGAAATATTGATAATTCGGTAAAGCACTTCGAGAGAGGAGAAGAACCTCAAATTATAACCGAAGGACCAAAATCGGAATATCAGAATTCACCAACAAGTTTCAAAGAAATTTATAGACTCAATTATGTTGATAATGACGATGATGAGGAGGAACTGGATGACCAGGATTTGACATCACATTACAGCTCAGCTGCAGATTCTAATGAAGAGGAGGAAGGTTTACAGCCAACAACAAAGGTAAGGTCCTTATTATTATTTTTAAGGGTCTACCATAATTTTTAAAAAATCCACACCTTGTAGTTGACCCCTAAAAAAATTTAAAATATCATCGCCTTTTTAAAAAATCCCTACCTGGGGTAGGAACCTTAAAAATATTTTTAAAAAATCTACGCCTTTACATTTTTTTAAAGATGGCAGATACTAGAATCTCTTCTTTGAAGACTTCCCCATGTGAAGAAATCCGACAGACCCCAGAATTTTCTCTAAAATTATCGGATCTTCATGACATTCCCTATAACAACTTCCAAGCAACTCCAAATAATTTTGAGGTACTAAGAGAGTTACGAAACTTTATATCCACTCATCAAATCGACACCTCCGAAGGAGAAGAGTTAACCGAGCTGGCCATTTACTTGTTTCGGAAATTGAGTGAAAATCGTTCTCCAGAAATCAAACCAATAGAATCCCGCACGAATCCGAAGACAGAACCTCATTATCCGCAAGAGAGTGAGAGCAGGCTACAAGAAGAGAGTAATGAATATACAAATCTCTCAAGTGACCTAAAACCACCCTATGATGATACTGATGAAATTTACGGTTTGTTATATTTCGATGACAAAAATATGGAGGGTCACTCTGAACAGCCAGGAGGGGTGGATAAAGGAACTCCGAAGGAAAAGCAGGAGAGTGAAGAGAATAAACAAATCTCAACTGTTCCAAATGACATCAAATCTGATGATAGTGACATTCATAGAAATGATCACAGAGGTGATCAATATTCGACTGTGATTCCGCAGCAGAAACTGGCAGAATGTTCCGCAAGTTCCTGGAATGATTCCCAGCAATTAAAGGGGATTTTGAAACCATTTCAAGAGAAATTTTCAAACGGTTCGGGTAAGTATACCAATTGAAAACTGAGTTGTCCAAAATAATTTTAATAGAAAATTGTGTTATCGATAATATTTTCAATAGAAAATTGTATTATCGATGAGATTTTCGACTGAAAATTGTGTTATCGATCACATTTTCAATAGTGTGTTATCGATCACATTTTCAATAGTGTGTTATCGATAATATTTTCAATAGAGAATTTTGATATCGATGACATTTACGATAGAAAATTGTGTTATCGATGACATTTTACAATGAAAACTGTGTTATCGATGTTATTTTTTATGGAGAAATGTGTTATCGATGGCTATTAATATAGAAAATTGTGTTAACGATTTTTTTTCTATATAAAGTGGTGTTATCGATGGCTATTTATATAGAAAATGGTGTTATCGATGATATATTACAATGAAAACTGTGTTATCGATGTAATTTTCGATGGAAAATTGTGTTATCGATGATAATTATTATAGAAAATTGTGTTATCGATGTTATTTTTTATAGACAATTCTGTTATTGATGGCTGTTAGTATAGAAAATTGTGTTATCGATTTTTTTCTATGAAAAAAATTGTGTTATCGATGTTATTTTCTATTGAAAATTGTGTTATCGATGGCTATTTATGTAGACATTTGTGTTATCGATGTTATTTCCTATAGAAAATTTTGTTATCGATTGTTATTTATGTAGAAAATTCTGTTATCGATGATACTTATTAAAGAAAATTGTGTTATCGATGACATTTTACAATTAAAATTGTGTTATCGATGTTATTTTCTATAGAAAATGGAGTTATCGATGTTATTTTCTATAGAAAATGGTGTTATCGATGACATTTTACCAAGAAAATTTTGTTATCGATATTATTTCCTATAGAAAATCGTGTTATGGTGGCTATTTATATAAAAAAAATTGTGTTATCGATTATACCTATTATCGATATCGATTTTGTTTTCTATAGAAAATCGTGTTATTGGTGGCTATTTATGTAGAAAATTGTGTTATCGATTATACTTTTTGCAGAAAATTGTGTTATCGATGACATTTAGCAATGAAAATTTTGTTATCGATTTTATTTTCTATACAAAATTGAGTTATCGATGTTATTTTCTATAGAAAATTATGTTATCGATAGTTTTTTATATAGAAAATTGTGTTATCGATGAAATTTTCGATAAAAAATTGTGTCATCGATGGCTATTTAGGTAGAAAATTGTATGTATAAAAAATTATGTTATGGATAATTTTTCTATAGAAATTGTGATATCGATGACAATTACTTTTAAAAATAATATTATCGATGACATTTTTAATCGAACATTTTATAAACAATTGGGTTATCGATGACATTTTCCATAGAAAATTGTTTTAACAATCTAATGTTTAATAGAATATGATGTTATCGATGCAAATTTCTATAAAAAGTTGTGTTATCGATGATAGTTTCCATAGAAAATTGTGTTATCGATAAAATTTTCAAAATAAAATGGTGTTGTCGATGACAATTTCTATAGAAAAACGTGTTATCGATAATTTTTCCTCTAGGAAACAGTGTTATCGGACCAAGACATTTCAGTTATCGATCGAATTTATCATAGAAAATTGTGTTATCGATTATATTTTCTATATAAAATAGTGTTATCGATTATATTTTCTATAGAAAATTGTGTTATCGATCCAATTTTCAGAAAAATTGTATTATCGAAATTGTATTATCGATGACAATTTCTACAGAAAAATGTGTTATCGATGATTTTTCGTGTATAAAACTTTGTTATCGGACCAATTTTTCAAAGACATTTAATTTATCGATCAAATTTATCATAGAAAATTACGATCGATGACATTTTCTATAGAAAATTGTGTTATCGATATATTAATTTATTCTATTTTTCTTTTTTCAGATAACAATAATATATCGGAATCACAGGGAAGAAGCTACACGCAATTTTCCCGAAGAAAATCGGAAATACAACTTCCAGCATTTAACAATTGTCCCTGTATGTTAGGTATATATTTGGAAGTTATGAACATTTAATCGGATTTCGCGAATTATTTTTAAAAATATTTTCAATTTCATCGATTTTTATTAACATTATTTTTCTGCATTATGTTTTAACAATGATCTTAATTTTTTTAAATAATTAATTAATAAAATTAGCAAAAAAAGAAAAAAATACTTTTATTTTCTACAATGTCTGTGCGGGAGGATAGCGTGGACTTTGTTCGCGCGAACGAGCCTGACGAAAACGATCATCGGTTAGATTGTGACGCAGCTCTTGATTTTGTACTTGAAATTCACGGGCCAAGGTGGCATTTTGTTCACGTTTCTGACGCTCCAATTCCAGATCGTGCTGCGGAATAGAAGAAGATAAAAAATTATTACAGTTTTATATAGGGTATTGAAGGGGGTTTCTGTAATGATCCTAACCAATAGTTCATCATTTTGTTTCCTCAACTGGACTAATTCTTGACTTAATTTACTATCAACCTTGATTTGTTCCTCCAAATCACGTCGAGTTTTTGCTAGAAGTTCCTCTAAGGTTTCCGCCGACATTTGCTTACCCTTTTCCGTTTTGTCCAAATCGAAGCGTAAGCGTTCATTTTCCATTTCCAACTGGAAGGAAATAGGGGAAAATTATAATAAAAATTATGCTCTCGAAAAATAATATTGTTATCGAAAATATTGAAGACTGTTATCGGTTCTGTTTTTACTAGAAAAATGTGTTATCGATCACATTTTTTTTATAAATTAGTGTTATCGATGACATTTTCAATTGGAAATTATGTTATCGATAACATTTTCTTAGAAGCATTGTGTTATCGGTCACATTTTGCATAGAAATGAGTGTTATCGATGGAATTTTCTGTTGTAAAGTGTATTATCGATTACATTTTCCATATATAATTGCGTCATCGATGCCATTTTCCAAGGAAAATTTTGTAAACGATCACATTTTTTTATAGAAAATTGTGTTATCGATAATATTTTCTTTAGAAAATTGTGTAATCGATCACATTTTTTAAAGGAAACTGTATTATCGATAATATTTTCTTTAGCAAATTGTGTTATCGATAACATTTTGCATAGAAAATAATGTTATCGATGACATCTTCTACAGAAAATAGTGTTATCGATGACATTTTCGATAGAAAATAGCGTTATCGATAAAATTTTCCATAGAAAATTATGTTATCGATGACATTTTTGATAGGGAATGGTGTTATCGATGATACTTATTACAGAGAAATGTGTTATCGATGACATTTTACAATAAAAATTGTGTTATCGGTGACAATTTATACAGAAAATTGTGTTATCGATTACATTGTATAAACAGAACTGAGTTATCGATAGCATTTTTTAATGATAGCATAGTTATCGATGACATGGTCGATAGAAAAGTGTTTTATCGATAATATTTTATAATGAAATCTGATTTATCGATGACAATTTCTGTGGAAAATATTGTTATCGATGACATTTTGCAAAGGGAATTATGTTATCGATGATATTTTCTAAATACAATTGTATTATCGATCAGATTTTCTAAAGGAAATCGTATTATCGATGACATTTTCTAAAGAAAATTGTGTTATCGATTACATTTTCGAAAGACATTTGTGAGTTATCGATTAAATTTTCTATAGGAAAGAAAAAAATGGTGTTATCGATTATATTTTCGATAGGAAATCGAGTTAACGATTAGAAAATTATATTGTGTATAGAAAATTGTATTATCGATAACATTTTGTACAAAAAATTGTGTTATCGATGACAATTTTTATAGAAAACTACGTTATCGATGACATTTTCTAATAAAAATTAAGTTATCGATTACATTTTCGATATGGAATCGAGTTATCGATTAGAAAATTATATGATATACAGAAAATTATATTATCGATAACTTTGTACATGTTATCGATAATATTTTCTACAAAAATAGGGTGTTATCGATGACAATTTTTATAGTAAATTGAATTATCTATTGCTTTTACTATAGAAAATTGAGTTATCGATAACATTTTCTACAAAAAATTATATTATCGATTGTAATTTTCATAGAAAATTGAGTTATCGATTACTTTTACTGTAGAAAACCGAGTTATCGATAACATTTTTCATAGAAAACTTTGTTATCGATGACATTTTTACCGAAATTTGTGTTATCGATCCCTTTTTCATAAGAAAACTGCATTCTCAATTATTTTTTCTATAGGAAATTTCGTTATCGATTACTTCTTTTTTAAAAATTCTTCTTCTTTTTAAAAAAAAAATCTCCCCTCGACCTACCTTCCTCTTAACATCATTCAATTCATTTAGTTCGGCATTCAGTTTATCCTTTTCATTATCCAATTTATCACATAGCTCTTTGCGCGCCTCCAAATCTGTTTTCAAAATACGCTGTTCATCCTGACATTCGGCTAGCTGATGTTCGAGACAGGTATTTTTCGCGGTTAGGGTGGCGATGCGATCCTCCAGTTCAGTGATTAATTTGTTGCGGCAGTTCAATTCTTTTTTGAGGGTGGAAATTTCAGCATCCAACTCGGCGACTTGACGTCTGAGGGGGAGGGAAAGAAGACCGCAGCAAATGACGAAGCAAAGTATGGGGTGAGGTGAGATGAGGTGGGTTAAAATTATTTACATTATAAAATAAAAAAAAAATGTTTGAGGTTTTGAACTACTCTCTAAGTTTTACTCTTGTTCTACTAATAGTTTCTTAATTCTAAGGCAGCAACAACAATGACAACAATTACAGCTACCACTACAGAAACGATAGAGGTTAGAAAATAGAAATTGAAAAACAAGAAGTAGATTTTGAAGGTCCAACTTGAAAGAAGGTAGATTCTGAAAGCCCACCTATATTCTGCCGTTTCATTTTCTAAACTTTGATTATTGCCCTCCAGCATAACGGCATCGTGTGATAGACTGCGATAGTGTTCCAGCATTTCCTCACGTTCTTTTTCCTAAAAAATTGAATTTTTTTTATTCAAAAAAAAGAATTTAGAATTCATGGACCCTTACCTTGTGCATCAGTAAATCCTCCGCCTTCTTAACCTCCTCAACATATTTCCGCAGCTGTTGTTTGAGTCGTTCGATTTCCTTTTCGGAATCTTTGAGTTGTTTGCGCAGCGAAGAGACTTCGGCTTGACTTTCGGCCAAATCATTGCTTAGGCGGCTGAGGGAAGGAGATAAAAAAATTAATCAAATTTTTAATAGAGAGGGGGGAGGGGGTGTTTTCAATACTTACACATTTTCCTGTATGGCCTGATCCCGACTGGCTTTCAATGCTGTCAGCTGTTGTCGCAAACTTTTGCTTTCCGTCGAAGTTTCATGGAGTTCGGTACTGCGTTCACGTGATTGTGTGGAAAGTTTACTGGAAGAGAGAGGGGAGAAGGGGGTATTAATTGAAAATAATTTTGAAATATTTAAAAAAATATATATATTTTTAAGGCTCGAAACCAGATGGGGATGAAAGCTATGAATAAAGTTCTGAAAGCTTTGGCTGACATCTCCTAGGGCAAGGATAGGAAGAAACATTGGAAACGACTTATAAGGCTATATGTCGTTCCATCCTGAATTATGCTGCCCCAGTCTGGACTTATTTCTTTGGTGACACGTCAACAGATTGTCGATAGCGAACGCAATGAAATCCGTGCATCAACTGGCGAACTCCGAAGCCATAAATGGCAAAAGATGCAATAATGTCCTACAACAACATTCTCCTGCAATTTCGGAGAGTGAGATGCTTCTTCCTAGGGAAACCCGTTCAATTCTGGCACAACTAAGGTCCGGATACAGCAGCATTGCCCCTCCTGCCAGCAAAGCCCTCACGACACACACACACCATATATTGAATTGTCCGTCCGAGCCTCAGGGGGAGAGTCTCGGAGTAAATGACCAAGTGCCTATGATCCCTGGGCCGACGAGGCGAGAATGGCGCCCCTATATAACCATCTCAAAAGGTCTGGGTCACTACCTTTTTTTAAAATGTCCCCCCCTAACGCTGCGGTGTCATGCGACCTCGTGCCTATCAGAGTTCTACAGTTTGCAGTCAGGGTCCCGACTGTATTAGAACGGAACCTTGTTGATACCTGGGCGCCTCAACAAGCTTATTCGGGCTTAGATGCCAAGTCCTTGCCATGGTAAGCGGCTATGCCATGGTCGACCTCAATCCCTCACTTACAGCACTTTTTATGGATCCGAATTTTAAGAACCCGCAAACCCCTTCCCCCTCAAAATAAAAACAATTTATGTGATTCTACGACTGATGATGTTGTTGGTGTCTTGGCACCCTCAGTCTCGAACTTTACAAGGCCAGATATCAATGAACCCCCTCTCAAGTGTTGACGACCCAAGCTACCCCCCAGGACCTCTCTTTTGCCTCTGTCCCACTCTCGACGACGTTAATGAAAGCCCTTCTCCTCAACCTTTTAGAGGAAACCGGCTTCTTCCGCCTTAGTCAGGAGAGCATCCCGAATCAGTTCTGGGATGACTCGCCCTTGTCAGACGAGGAAGAAATCATGGAAACTACGGTCATTAGCACTACGCTGAAAAACACAATAACGACCATGATGTCTCCTCCGAAGTCTCCTTGCTTCGGAGTTGCTTCCCAGTTGCTGACTAGGGAAGTAAACCCTGGCGAGATTGAAGATCCGCGAGACTATTCAGGCAATCGGGTATCGAAACGGATACTGGTACTGATGAGAACCCCGTCGATAAGATGGATGATTCATCAGTACCAGTACCTGCTAGGCATATCGATGCCAAGGAGATCGCTGTCAAGAAGATGTACCGGAGAGCACGGGAAACGAGGTCCTTTTAATCAAGAGGAACCTCAAATTTATCCGGAAGTTCTCCAGGAATTATCCATATGATATTGAGAGGGACTTCTTGACTGATAGGCAAGTCGATGCCAAGGAGATTGCTGCCAAGAAGATGTACGGGAGAGCAGTTAACTACTGTAACCGATACTTCGGACGGGACAGCGACTCCATTACGGGAAAGGAGTTCCTTTTTTATCAAGAGGAACCTCAAATTTATCCGGTAGTTCTCCAGGAACTATCCAGATGATATTTATCCGGAATTTATTTTTTAATGATCAAATTTATCCGGAAGTTCTCCGGGAACTATCCAGATGATATTGAGATTGAGACTTCTTGATTGATAGGATCCCCCGACCCAGTACTAAGACCACCACGGTAGTCCCTTCAACGAAGGAGAAACCTGTTTGGAGGGGCTCTAGTACATCCAGGAAGCTGATGCTTGAAATTTCTAAGTCTTCAAAGCACCCCCAAGGGTAAACTGAGTACTGAGACGTCCACAAACACCAGCATCCACAACGAAGGAAGGAAGCCCGTAAAAAGGCCTCCAAGAAGACCGATAGGACACAACCATTCTCTGTCAATCCACCATCTGTTGAATTGCAAAAGCCGATACCCAAGGCGCCGAAGGTAGTGAGCGCGAAACAGGTCCCTGTCATTCTATTAATATTTTCAGGAAAGAACTTCATCAACAACAGCCAACCTGTTACAACAACAACAACAATAAGCACTCAACAAAATAATCTGAGGGAGAGAGGGAGAGAGAGAGAGAAAGGTAGTCAATTTTCAGTTGTCTGTGAAAGACTTAAGAAACAAACTTGGCACTTGATTAGGCCTTAGGAAGTTTGTTGCTTAAGTCTTTTTTTAAGGGAGTAATTTACGTGGTGATTGAAAAAAAAAATATTTTTAAGGGTCTACACAAGGTGAGGAGTTAAAAAAAAATTGTGGAACTTTTAAAAAAAAATTCTTAAGGTTACACACAAGGTGAGGATTTTTTTAAAAATGATTTTTAAGGGTCCACAGAAGTTGAAGATTTTTTAAAAATTATTTTTAAGGTTTCACACCAAGTGAGGATTTTCTAAAAAATATGTTTAGGTGTCTACCACAAGGTGAGTATTTTTTAAGAACTTTTTTTAAGGTTCCGCAGAAGGTGAAGATTTTTTAAAAATTATTTTTAATGGTCCACACAAGGTGAGGATGTTATAAAAAAATTAATCAACTCCAATCTCCCTCGTTTCTATTCTTCAAACCATGGGATTTGTGCCAGGCCAACATCGATTTCAATTTCAATCGAATAATGTAATTTTGTTGTTGTTGTTGTTCCCAAAGACATTTAATCCCTTTTAATAACCAAAAAACAAAAATGTTGCAATAACCACCAACAACAACAGCATATCACAATTGCCGCTGTTTTAATGTTTGAAGCAATATTTTGTGGGTTGGGTCGTCAAACATACAGCAGCCAACCGTTCAGTCAGCCACCGAGTCAGCAACCAGCTGATGTTTAACATCTTTCTGGCTTAGAAACTGACAAATCAACAACAAAGTGATGGCAAATAAATTAAAAAAATTACAACAACAAAGACATCGCATCACGACAATTAACAACAACAACAAAAAATAATAAGACATGAATATGACATTTTCATTAGGCCATCGGATGGCGATGATTATTCGATGAGGGCTTCTATTGGAAAAAAAAATAATTTTTAAGAAATCCCCACTGTATAAGTTCGATACATTGCTTACGGCAATGTATATGTTCGATACATTGTTTCCCCTTCTACAGCATTATAATTAACCACTTTAATTGGTCGCTCTTCGGAGCCCAATGGGGAGATCTTCTCTGCATATCTTCCAGGAGCCTCATTCGCCTAGTTCGGATTGTAGGGGAGAGTTTCGCTCTCTTCTACTATATCTCCTGGAAGCCACATTCGCTTAGTTCGGATGCAGAACGACCAATGCTGTGGTCGTAGTTGTCGATCACGGCCTTGCTGTAGCTTTCTTGCCCATCGCAACTTCACTTGCATCCTCGCTTTCGGTGATATATATGGGAACTACATCTAAAGCTGAACCGATTTTCACGAAACTTTGCACACATCATTCTAGACGTAATTCATTACGCTGTGCAAAATTTCGTGCAAATCCAAAGATATATAGGGACTTAGGTTTACCATTTACATAAAATCGGACGAAAATATATATGGGACCTATATCTAAATCTGAACCGATTTTTACCAATTTCAATAGGGTTCGTCCTTGGGCCAAATAAGTGACTTGTGCCAAGTTTCATCCAAATCGGATCATAAATGCCACCTGTACTTTGTTTACAATTTAACATGGACAGACAGACGGTCGGACGGACATGCATAAATCGACTTGGAAAGTGATTCTATGCTTATTCTCAAATGGAACCATGGGTCTATCTCGATTCCTTTTGCCTGTTACAAACATATGCACAAAGACATCATACCCTGTACCACAGTGTGGTGAAGGGTATAAAAATAATAAAACATGAATATGACATTTTCATTAGGCCATCGGATGCCGATGATTATTCGATGAAGGCTTTTATTGGAAAAAAATAATTTTAAAAAAAGTCCCCACTTTGTGGTAGCCACTTAAATTTTT